AACATAAACTGATGAACAAAAATAGAGCCAGAGGGAAAAAATAATATTTTAGAATATAATAGAAGTAATCCTATTATTTGCAGATTTTTAATATTTCCTACAACTTTTGTGATATCATACTATGTTAGTACAGTTTTGGTAATATTATTATACTTAAAATCCTTTTTTTCTTAAAATATTAATGTTTAGTGCATGTAATATTATATTTAAGATCGTTTTTCTGGAATAATTGGTGTTTACTGCATGTAACATTGTATTTAAAATTGTTTTTCTTGAGATATTAATGTTTATTGCATGTAACATTATTATATTTAAAATCATTTTTCTTAAAATAAAAAAAGTTCCCATTTGAAAAAAATAAAAATAAAATGCATTTCCTGAGGATATATTTAAAAAAACAACCCATAATATGTAGTATAGTACTTTTTAAAAAATCTCTTTTATGTTTGTCTTTCCCACAGAAGTTAAGCACCACAAGGGTAGAGATCTTTGTCTCCTTTGTTAACTCCTGTATCATCATCTAGAATAGGACTTGACCACAGAGTAAGTATCCAGTAAGTACAGTTTAAGTGAATTAATGAATAAGCACTAAAAAAAAATGTTAACTATTAATACCTTTACACAAACAATAGGCCCACAACAAAATCTTTTCCCAAATAAAAGATAAGTGGTCCTCACAGAGATTAGTTTTTTCACCATCCCAGAACAAAAGGCAAAAAACTCAGAAAGGTTTTACAATAGCGGTTGCCGTCTCTACCTTCACTACACCTCTCTCAAGTCTTCTGCTTTCCTGAGGACGTCAGTGCCATACGATGGCCATTCAATTCCCCTGACTCATCATCCCATATCTTCCTCAACTCTGATGACCTTTGCTTCCATTCCACGTAAGCTGCCCACAGGAATGGCCCTTGTGATCCTCTTTAAAGGGCCATATTTCTGAAATCTTAAACTCTAATCTTCTGCTCTTTGTACTTACCCTCTACGGAAGACTGCATTTTCCAAGATGGCTGCAACAAGATCTCCCATCCTACATGCTCTTCTGCATTGTGAAGTTGGCCTCTGCTCCTTCCCCTTGAATCCACGAGGGTCTGTGACTGTGACAAAAATGATGCTCTGTACTTTCCAAGACTGTATCATAAAAGATAATATCACTTCTCTGTGTCTTCTTGGGATGCTTGCTCTCTGAAACCAGCTGCCATGCTGCTAGGAAGCCCATACCACACAGAGAGGCTGCATATAGCTCTTCCAGCCAACAGCCCCAGGTCTTAGCTGACAGCCAACAACAGTTGCCAGTCGTAGGACTGAAGAAGCCTTTGAGGTAACTCCAGCCCCGGCCGTGGCAACAGCACAAGAGACCTGGGTGAAAACCACCTAGCTGAATCCAGTCAACTCCCAGAATCATGGGAGGAAAAATAGATTGTTGTTTTAAGCCTCTAAAATTTTGGGGTTATACATTATGCAGCAAGAGTAACTAAAACACCCTTCTTTCCTTCTAGTTCTCTAGTTGTTTTTTGTTTTTGTTTTAATCCTCACCCGAGGATTTATTATTATTATTTATTTTTATTATTATTTTTACTATATAAATGTTAGCTATCAGGATATTTTTCCATTGATTTTTAGAGAGAAATATCGATGTGAGAGAAACACATTAATTGGTTGCCTCCTGCATGTGGCCCAGGCTAGGGAGGAGCTTCCAACCGAGGCATATGCCCTCGATCGGAATTGAACCCAGGACCCTTCAGTTCGCAGGCTGACGCTCTATCCAATGAGCAAAACTGGCTAGGGTGCTCTCTAGTTTTCTTACTCACCAAACCTAGTCTCTTTCTGGAAGCCAGTTATGCCTTAACCAATGTTTTCTCCATATCCCAACAAGAGACAGGCCAGGGCATCTCCCTGCTCTTCATGGCTATTTCCAGACTATTTTTCATCCTGCTTGGGTAACCTAAATGTCTCTATATCTCCTGTATTCTATCACATTAAATACTCAGTTGATGTGACTGCAGCAAGTCCTGACTTTATGGGGTTCCCTCCCTAATAATTTTTGAGATTCTCTGCAGAGGCTCATATGTCACCTATAAAGAGGTGAGTTAATTTGCTCACAGTTTACACTCCAGCAAGCAGTGAAGCCAAATACCAGCTATGCCTGGCTTTCTCTACACACCACACTTTCCTTTCTTATTTTTTTTTTTAATGTATTAATAAGAAAGAGAAAAAAACACCGACCCACTGCTCCACCCATCAGTTGAATCTTGTATGTGCCCTGACTGGGGATCAAATTCACAACCTTGGTATATCGGGATGATGCTCTGACCAACTGAGATACCCGACCAGGGCCACACTTGCTTTTCTTGCATGCATTTTCTTTACTATGTGAAGACAAGAACACTTTTGAGCTAATCAATTGCATGCTTTCTGTTTAAAGTAAAAACATATAATAAATAAACCCCTGCCAAAATGCTGAATTCCTAGTGGGATTATGTGTTAAAAACAGTTGTCTTCCAATATAACTCCTATGAATGTGTCATTTTCTTTATTTTAAAACTTCCTAGAGACTTCCCAAGACTCTCTATGAACTCCTCAACAAGTCACAGGAAACCCAAGAATAAATTATTCAAAAATAATTAACAAAAGGCTTTGCCTTCCTTCATAATTTAGTAGTAACCTTTTCTATGCCTTGCTGGCATAGAAAATATCTTGTTGAAGAGGCTTCTGTGTGTTAGGAATCATCTAGCAACATTTTGGCCATGAGTTGTACACAGCACAAGCTAAGCCTAATCTTTTATATAAGAAATACATTTCACAAAAACATATTACATGAAGGTATCGAGGAACTGGTCTGGACTAAGGGCAGAGAGGAGTATTGCGTTGGGTTAGAACATGGGTTGGAAAGCAGCTCTACCTCTTTACTAGCTGCATTTGCCTGCAAAGATACGTAACCTCCCTCTGCTTCAGTATCTTCATCTATAAAATGGAGATGGCAATAGTACCTGCCTCAGAGGGTTTGGGGAGGATTAAATACATGGTGCCTGGCACAGAGTAAGTGTTCAATAAATGCTAACAATTGTTATCTCAATCTTTGTTTAAGATTGGGTAAAAGAAAAGAACAGCATTTCGTGAAAACAAATTCTTCCAGAAGCAATTAATTAAAATAAAGTGCTATTTGAAAACTAAAATGATCATATTGGGTAAATGCTATTTAAAATTTAATTTTGGATCTATATTCTAATAACTCCATGAAACACATTAGAAGAACATTTATCAACTAATTTTAAAATGTAGACCTCACCAACTTATAGGTACAAGCAAGATCACATTAAAGTTATAACTGAATCTTGTGAATTTTAAACACCAGATGATTATGCAAGAATTCAGTTCCCCGCCCCAGGTATATCTGGAGATCTCAAAAAAAAAAAAAAGTGTCTTCATGTGTGCATGTATTTGTCTTTTGGTTCACCATACTGATGGTTCAAATCTCAGCTCTTCCATGGACAAGCTATGGGCAAGTTACCTGTTACTTATCTATTGCTGCATTACAAATTATTCTAAAACTTGGTGACTTAAAACAGCAAATGTCACTTTATTATTTCTCATGGTTTCTGTGGGTTGGGAGTTTTGAAAGAGCTTGGTTGGTTCAGTATCTCTCATGTGGCTGAAATCAGACAGCGGTAGGAACAAGAACATGGGAATGGGAGTAGCTGGGCTGGCTGGGCATCTCTTTCTCCCTCTTCATGTAGTTTCAGAACCTCCCTGTGTGGTCACTCCATGTGGGTTAGTTTGAGCTTCCTCACAGCATGGCTGCCTCAGGGCAGTCAGACTTCTTCCATGGCAACTCAGGGCTCAAGGATAAGTATTCCAGTAAACAGGTGAAGAGTGCATTTCCTTTTCTGGTCTACCCTGAAAGTCGTACTGCCTTATTTCTGCTGCATTCTATAGGTTACAAAAGAGCCAGAAGCCTGCACAGATTCAAGTGGAGAGGAACAGAGCCATCTCTCAGTGGTAGAAGGATCAAGGTTACATTGCAGAGTACCATGTGAGTTAGGTGATATGGCAGCCAACTCTGGAAAAAACAATCTGCCACATAACAACTTATCCAAACCTAAGTTTCTCATCTGTAAAAGGTGGTTAATAATAATATCTACCTAATAGGGTTATAGTGATAACTAAGTGAATAAACACACGGAAAGCACTTAGAATAGTACCTGGCATGCTCCATAAATACTAGCTATTATTATCACCATCATCATCAATCTTTTCATTGCTCACTTAACCAAGATTGTGCAGTCACAGCCCCCACAGGGCCTTAGAAATGTCTCTCTGAGCTGAAGTACATCACTGTCTCTGACCTCTATTTCCCTGAACCACAGTCACTGTCTGTAAATCTTCTACCATCGCTAGTGTCCCTGCTGCCTGAGCCAAGACGCTGCAGCTGTTTGTCCCCACAGCTTCTCTGAGATGCCAGTGAGTAGACCCCACACTGACTATTTGCAATCCCCTGCTGCCATTTGCCTCAGTGTAATTATTGCTACCAAGTCCAAACTCTGGCAGGCAAGCCAACATTTCCACAGAGGAGCCACCTCTGAACTGACCTCCCCCCATATCCTGCTGTTACCTCACCCCTGAAGGGCAAAGGTCCTGCCGGTTCCCCCAGCCATGAATGTCTATGAACACAATCAAACAAATAAGCTAACAACTCTCTCCCTCAGCATTATGCTCAGTTGTGGAGGCTGTTGTCTGGGCCCCAAAATGAAGAATTGTGTAGTAAAATCATTTTCTCTACTGTCTCTCTTCCGAAGCCAAGACACTTCCAGATGGGATCTGACGTCAGAATCGGTGCCTTTCCCTCTCTACTCCCACTCCTCTCTCCTCGCCCTGGCTCTGGTTGGATATCTGGCTAGCACAGCAGGTGCCATTAGGAATATGGTAGATTCCACAGTCTGCTTCCACTGGGTCCTGACAAGTCCTTCCTACATATTCATATAGGTCTAAATGGTGGGCAGGGTTGAAGTTGGTTTTCCCCCATAGCCCTCCATTTAGGTCGGTAGATGCTGATGGGTACTTAAGATAAAGGGAGCCATTTTGGCGCAGACATTGAATGTTTAAGTCCCAGCTCCTGCCTGCCAGGATACCCTGTTATCCCTACCAGAACCCCCGTAATCACTTCCCTGTTCAGGAGGTGGCCATGTATTTGGGAGAGAGTTTTCATGATTTCTTTGATTTCTGATGTGGTGGGAGAACTGTTACCCTGGACAGATGAGATGGCCCCACCAGGAACAGATTTCAGTAGGTGTTTTGAAGGAGGTGAGGAGGAGCATGAAAAGCTAGCTCACTCAGAATCAGATTCGACCCTGGGGAAGGAGGGACCACAGCTGGAGGTTGAAGGAGCAGTTGTCACAAGTACTTCTGTGAGCTCTGGGGCCCACACCATGCGTGTTGATGTGGTTTAGAGGTGGGTGGGGGACTCAGAGTATGGATGGCATGCAGTGGACATCTGGTTCTCTCCTACATTTGATCAATCTCCACCTGAGGAGCAGAGCCCACCTCCCACTGAAAGAGCTGAAAACACCGACACTTGCTTCTCCCAGCACTGCTGGAGGTAGAATGTGGGGAGACCCACAAGCCTTGTGTTAGGGAGGGCAGGATCTATGTCTAGTTTCTGAAGGGGACAGTGACAGGGTTCTGGTGGCTGTGGGGGAAGGCCGGGTGTCCAACCAGGGGATTAGGGAGAGGTGTTAACCAGAGCAGCTTCCAGATGGGATCTGGACCTTGATTGCTGTCTACAGAGCTTCCCATCTTTTCCCTGACCATCCAGGGATTTTACAAAGTATCCAATAACTTTTTAAAAAATATATTAAATTGATTTTGAGAGAGAGAGAGAGAGATTTGATGTTCCACTTATTTATGCATTCATTAGTTGATTCTTATATGTGCCCTGACCAGGAATCAAACCCACAACCTTGGCATATTTGGTGTGTCAGGACAATGCTCTAACCAACTGAGCTACTAGGCCAGGGCTATCCAATATCCTTTTTTTAAAATATAGATATATATATATATTATTGATTTTAGAAAGGGAGAGAAACATCAATGATGACAG